GCACAGGGTCATGTTTGATTTAGAATACTGTGTTTAAATAAATGTTGTCTTGGTAAAAAGGAAACAGTGTTTTTCCACTTCACTCACTCTCTGTTGAGCTATTGAGTGAACAGTTCCTGGCTTTGAGAGCTTAAGCGAGCCAAGTGGAGTGTTATTTCCTCCCGGCTGAGCCAATGGGAACACGATACGATGCCCTTCTCGCAGCAGATTGTCAATGACAGGCTGAGGGGGGAGCCCGCGACACGACTGATGGAGAGTGACGCTCTCTGAATCACGTGCAGCGCCGAGCTGAATGTGACTTTCTCACAACAGCTGGAGAGGACTGTGCATGTCATTTTAATGCACCTGTGCACAACACCAACCAGATGTCTCCCTTTAATCTCTGTGCAGATCTTCATCAGTAACAGCCGCACCTCGTCAGAATGACAATGAATTGTATGCAACACTGCAGAGATGTCAGACTACACTGCAGAGGGGTGATATTGTGTCAATTAAAGCCTTTTTGAATTAAAGTAAACATGCAGATCTGTGTGAAAGAAGATACTCTTTATAAAGTGATAGCAACATGAAATGATGCGATTGATTTGGTGACGCACGGTCAGGTTAATGCTAATTCACCAGCGCTAACTACAGATAATTGAGGGTTTGACTTGGCATCGAAAAAAAGTTGAGGCAAAGAGGTCTACAAAGAGGTGAGGCCTTTCACAGGAACAATGTTCTGTGAATAACTGGCTCTGATACAAGAGAGATGGAAGTGTACCTGATGAATCACTGAGCTCTCAGCACCAAATGTAACCTGTAATGATGCCCTCCCTATGACTAATCATCAAGCTGTAATGTGGAAACCCATTCACAAGTTCATATCAGTGCTCTGTCCATCTCAGAAACCTATCGGCAATCACCCTCTGTCATCCTCTTCCTCAAGACCTCCTCTTCCATGCAGTTTTTTTAATGTTGCAGATATAAACGCCATTATTTCTTTGGCCATTACGTCCTCTTAAGTAGCACCCGTTCATCTGCTTCTCATCTCTCAGTTCAACAGGACAGACTTCACTCTGGCTCACTTCAGCCGTTCGAGCACAGAAAAGGAAACTGATTTTCTTGTGATTTACTTTAATTTAACGGGGATTAAGTGTGCCGAAATGACATTGTGAAGCAGATTTGTAAAAAGTAAGATGTGAGCTTTGTCGGGTCTGAAAAAACTACTTTTAAAACGTTTTGTTTGTTGAATGGAGGTCTGGCATTCAAGGTAGTCAGGGAATCTAAACGCTGTGAGACAGCGGCGCAAGTTGCATTTTTTTTTTTAAATATAAAATGGGTTGCTAGCTACATTTTCATGCATCTGTTTACAAAGACAAATAAATCATGATTTGAGTACAGATGGTGGGAGCTGGTACGTCACTAGCGTAGATAGCGTGGTTCCCATTGCTTTTTCAATCTGCACTCCTGCATACACCACCGCCTGATGATATGAACTGGTCAATACAGAAGAACATTGGGCCTTTTTTTAAGACAAAAACTCAAACACCCAGTAGCTATCATTTGGCAGCAGCTAATATTGTCTCTTTGAACCACTCTCGCTAGCTTAAATTATATTAACTAAGCCTTAGGTACATATCGAGTCATTTTAGCCAATTTACAATAATGGCAGCAATAACATAGCCAAGAATAGGTTGAACTCCAAAATTAGATGTTTGGAGATATCCTTTAGCACCTTCTGACTCATCAAATATTTGATCTACCTTTAATAATGCTCTCTGTCCCTCTAGACTTTTACGACACACTGTCTTTTCAGATGCTGATTAATAATGAATATATGATCCTGGGTTCATACTTAATCAATATCAGTTATGATGAATTAATAAATGTATATCTCTAATCCCTTATGGATCCTGTATAATTTCCCTAAAATGCCTCCAGGCGACAAAATTGTTAGACTACAAGCACAAAAAAAGACTCTTTTGAAAGCTCTGCAGTTTGAGAATTTGGTGAAATTCTTCCTAAAATCTTCAGGATGTGCGTACTACTGTTAAATTAAGGCAGGCGTTCGTCACAGATCGCAATCTGTTTGGCGTCGGAAATGCTCTCAATGCTTTCGGGATGTTAGTGGTCGTTTGAAGCAAAATATCCACGTGTTCAGTATTTTTATTGGCTACGAGAAACCTCAGTCATCAGCCAGTCAGAAGATCCATCAGAATAGGGGGAGTGACCTCCTTTCAACTCAGGCTCTCATTGACTATTATAGGCAGGGAACAGTGAATGGATGGTTGTAATTGGCCAAATGAGGCGTCAATCAAAAACTCAGATTGTGGGCAATTTCTTAATCTAGAATCATGTAAATTATGTCATCAATATGACATTTTACAGAAGATGCAGTCGGGTATTGGGAAAAGCGATGGCAAATTTGAAGCAATCCCTGAATCTTTATGGATGTATTGTGTTTAGATTATGTCTTTCACTAGAACTGGATCGTACCGACCCTTGCTGATGCAGCAAGCAGGACCGTCTTCCTTGAAATGTTATGATTGGTAGAGTACAGTAAATCTTCAAATGGCAGAAGACAGTTTCTGTGGCTTAGATTGTGGCTGCTGTGGTGGTTGGATCTGGAAATAGTTTACATGGTTGGAATCAGAAATTGTAGCTTTATCACGATGTATGTCATGAGCTTTATTTATAAACAGAAGTTTTGTAAATAATTGCGATAATGAGAAAAAACGCCTTCAGACCCCCAGGCGGTCTGTCAGATTTATTTTTTTGTCATAATTCAATCATAATGAAGCTCTTAAAGAAGATTTCATCCTTTTACAGAATTAAAGAAACTGTTTTAAATTATAAACAGAAAAGATCAAAGAAACACTATCAGAATACTTTCTGCAAGTGGAAATTAAATGTTTCTATCTTCTGTCTGATTTTTTTAAATTGAGGCCTGATGACAGTCTTATTCTGTGTAAATAAAGTTGTAAAATAAACTCCATCCAATTTGCACTCGACTTTATATTGGCTCTCATAATGTACTCATTCAGATTATCTCTGATGTCGACAGAGATGAAAGACTTTCAAGCCAAAACCTCCAAAGCCTCTGACTTAGGAAAAAAAAAATCTAATTTTTTCTTCAAATCCTGGTGATCAATCTCCCCCTCGCCCGTCTGTCTGTTATCTTCTCTCATTTGTCTGGGGTCTATTTTGCCCCATCCATCCACAGAGCGGCCTATAAAGCTGACTTTTCTGACTGGCTCATCGCACAACAGCCGAGCTCGCTCTGTCTAGCCTGAGGTCAGCTGAGGGAATGAGATGGCGTTGTGAAGATAGTGGAAAAATGTCACCCGGGAATGAAATATTGATGGACAGAAAGGCCTTGCCTCTTTCACTTGCCCTCGGGTGTGGACTGAGAGTCACACAGTTGACGGGCATCGAAGAGGAAAGCCAAAGCAAACACACTAATCTGCACATGGAGAACGGGAACAACACAATCCTGTCCATTCTTTCCCTTGGAGGTATCGTTATCTTCTCCCTCTCTCTAAACAAACACTAATCAGATTCTCTTGCACTTCACTTGATGTGGTTTATTTCCAGCCAGAGCCTTCAAGGCTTAACGTATGATCCGCTTCTAGCAAATAAGGAATCGATGCAATCTAAATAAGGAGACGGAAAATGCATCCAAACATCTGAATTTACATAAATACATGCAGAGGTAAGACTGGGGTGAAGGATGGCAGTCCTGTTTAAAGCTGAACTGTCTGCTGGCGTCTTTGGTGAGCGTCAGTAACAAAGGAGAGACGGCAGAGAGACATGTCAGCCCTCTGCTGCTCAACAAAAGCAGAGATGATGTTTGTTTTTGCAAAGCACGCTCAGAAGTCATCCAGATGTCATTCATGTCAGGTTAGAGTCGAGCTGTGATATATATAAATACATGTACAGACATGTGATGCAGGGCTTGAATTTGTGGAACAAGCAGAAAGTCTAAAGGAAGCCTAATGATAGCTTCATCCGTCACCATCATCTCATGCCTCAATTAAACCAATTTCAATGACTGATTTAAGATCACATACAAATTCTGCATCTTGAGAGAAGACATCTCAAGACCAGTAACCATTAATGATGAACCATAAAGGAAAAATACTAACATTGTGTAAAATATTTCATGTCATGAGAAAAAACACAGAACATTTCATGAGACACCTGCAGTGTGTGAATCAGGAACTCATACGTTCAACAGTCATTCTTTGTAGCTGGTGTACTTTAAAGCAACCTTATGTAGGATACGGTGCCACCGTGCTGACACCCTCCGACTCGATGTTTAATCTTGTGTTGTTGTTGCCTGTTTCACATAAGGAACGAGTAATGCGTGCCTTCAAATGTCAGTAATTGTGCTGAGCGAACCTGAGGAAGCTACAGGCAGACGCGTTGTTTGCTCACAATAAAATACAGTAAAGTTGTTTTCAGTGTTTCCACAGAGTTTTGATTTATTTTTCATGGTATGTTCCTGCAACCGTGCACTCCTGAGAACGTGTTCAGGCTGTGCACGGGGTAATTGTATGTTGTATATATGCTACTAGTTACTGGTTAAATATTAGTGGTGTTACAGTAGTCATAATCCCAACACTGCCCAAAAGCAACCTCATCTAGGCTACAAAACACAAGTGCATGCTGCTGAAATTATCTTTGACAGTGTCATGGGTGCTTTCATATTTACAGCCACACTCTCCAAGCACAGTGATCAGTTATCTATGTGCTCAAAGATAATTTTCTTTGTAGATTATTTGTGTTATAAAGAACTGTGTGTCTTAGCCACATCTTGCATTGCTACTATTGCACATGCACACATTGCCATGTCGCTGCTAAAACAATATACAGTGCAACCCTGGTAAGCAAATCTTATAAACCGTTCGCATGTTTATGCTTATTTCATCGTTTTCAGCTGCTGCCTCATTTCCATCCATCTGAAGGATTGAAGAGGAAAGCTCTAAATTCCAGTACAGTTTGTGTTGTGGATCACTCACCGTTAATCCATTTGGCCTCGGGGTCGTGGACTTGGAACTCTGGTTTGAACAGATCCTCCACCATCAGTTTGGTGTCGCTTCCGGTCTGGCTGTCAGCTGCAAAAATAAACCATGAGTTGTTAAGTTGCCTCACATGTATTGTGTCATATGGGTGTACAAATCATAGGTGTGAAGTTTTCAACCAATTAGAGATGCATCGGTTTAACATCAGTATCGGCAGATATTGGTCCTGCTGACATCGAAAAATATAATTTGGCAATTTTTGCCGATGTTTCATCAATTTAATGCTGGCACCTAATTCCCTTTACTACTGATTCAGAAAATAATTTCTATTTGGCAGATGAAGTCACCTGTTGGATAATATATAGTCATTGTCAAACATGAGACAAATTGTTGGTATTGTGGGAGTCTTACCCCAAAAGAAGTTGTCTAAATAGTTGTTTTAGAAATCAGTGTCAGTCCTATTTTTCCACAATCTGTGCATCTCTAACAACAATAAATGTCAAAGATCATTCATTAATCCACTTTGCTCTCTACTAGCAGGCCTTCCTTTTTCATTCTCACCACTGGTCTTGAGATGTTTTTACAACATCAAAAACACAAAGTCATCCTTTCAAACACCTGACACTGAGCATCAAAAGCATCCTGAGGATTTATTACCACCTGTCTGCATGTGTTAGAGACACAGCTGTCAGAACACAGGAAGAGCAGGTGCATAACCGGCAAGTATTGCAGAAAAAAACAATGTAGTTTGTAAATTTGGACTCCATCAAATTCAAATTGATTTGACTGTAACATCAATAAAACAGTCTGATATATGCAAGAATGGCCAGAAACTCTAACACTGTGTCCTAACAGCTTGTGAGTGTTAGAAATCATGTCACATCCCATAGCATCAGATGCTCACTGTCGACACGGCATCCGTTAAATATTTACTTCATTGCTTTGTGAATTTCAGTTTCATCTTGCAAACATTATGACATCATCTAATGCTTTTATTTTGAAGGTGGACAAACGGAAGTGTGGTGCTTTATATTGAAGAGCTGTTGACTCAAATCACAACACTTGAATATGGCTCTTCTCCTGTGCTTACACAAGTCAGAGCACATTTCAAACGGATATGGATATTAACAATGCACCACTATCTTCACTTTGTAAAACAGGACAAGCTCTGTTGAGTGATTATAGCAAAAGGGAAAAAAAATAAACATGTGCCTAAGAGAGGGCGGCCCAGGTTTGAATCCGACCTTTGGATCCGCTCCCCACTCTCTCTCTCTCTCGTTGATCTATTGACTCTATCCTCTGTCCTATCTCTAAAATAAAGGCATATAAAGCCCAAAAATAAACCTTTTTCTGCCCCCTAAATCACCGTTTTTATGTCAACATGTATCCAAAGGCTGTTTAATGTGACAGGGTTATTTGTATTGACATATGAAGACCTTTCTAGTTCTTATAGCTTGTTTTTTTATTGTGACTGCCTGTGTAGTATGGCACATTTAAGTTTCCTTATCAAGCTAAGCTCACAATAAGCTAACCTCTGACAAACATTAGCGAGATTAGTTTAATTTCCTCGCACCAAAATAGAGAAACAAGGGAAAGTGAATATTGGAGTTTTCTTTGTCAAATGGACAGAGGCTTCGAATGCGGTCATTCTGATGTTCCCAAATTTCTATGAAATTCCCCCCCCCCGCCCCCTCCTTTAATAATGCACATAACGTCTTGTTGAGGAAACACATGCTCCCTAAATATCTACCCCATTATGCTCAATAGTTCATGTTCAAGCTTTAATATCGAGTTTTCAAGTTGACTTCTGTCTTAATTAAAATATTCCTTAATCCCTGATAAAACAACGTGTCCATCTGTTCAGCAGATGGTGTGTTGATAGTCCATCAAATCCAGATTTACACAAAGGTACTTAAACATATAAAGAAGAAGATGCACATGGAACAATGTTTATTGTGAGATTGGCGCTTCATTTGTTCATTAGCGCAATCATTAGTGGACCTGAAAATCCTCAAGCTGCTCCACTGTAGCCCCTGGATATGTTTCCTCTTTAATTATGAAATGTTATGGTTTCTGCCGACCGACAGCGTGCCAGTGGTGAGATTCTTCTGAATAGGACAGCTGCTGATTGTGAGCAGAAACAGAGGGCCAAGACATTTTGAATGTCAGCCATATTGGCTTTCCGTGATAACTCCACACTGTGTGTTTGTTTATGGAGGCAATGAAAGTCTAACCAACCGTGTAAGACTCCCGGGGGGAGAGAGGGGACGAACGGGCAGTGAGAGGTGATGATTTTAGATGAGTAAATCTGAGGTTTCTCTTTAGTTATTTGTAAAAGCAGGTGTTTCATTTACATTAGAATTCCAGCTGAATCCTGCATGAGTAACTAACAGTGTGGAGCTGTGGAGACCGCAGCAGGTCAGAATACAGTGAAGGAGGAAATTGAGGGACTGTTCTTATATTGAACATGAACTTTGTTGGCATGTTTTTCAATGCTTATAGTCATAGATATGTTTTTTTTTTTTTAAAAGGTTTATGCAGCAGGTTGATCAGGGTCAATAAAACCAAGACAATATGCTGCAAGGAGCCAGACTACTTTGTAAAGTATGAGGTTTTAGAGGACATATGTTGATACTTCTTCATGTATTCTCTAATTATACAATTAAAACACAACAGTTTGTTAAAGGCAACATTTTATGTCAAATCCACTTCATGTCTACTTGTTTAAAATGTTTGATAAGTTGGATAATATGTGACCTTTGACTGAACTTTGAGCTGCCAATAATTGGATCGTCAGTATGAGATTGATAAGACCCATTGTTGAAGGCAATTCCTGTGTTTTTAAACCTGGACACTATTCTTTGATATTTAAGAATTTGGTTTATACCACACATTAACCCAGTTGTTTGTGTTATTATTTGACTTTTGTAGTGGTTGTAGAACAAATCTTTAGGGACCCTTAACAATCTGAGCATCCTTTACAGCAGTCTTGTAGTTTGCGCTTGAAGCAATCTACCAAAACAAGTCATAATATGTTGGACCTTTTAGACATTTAGACCCCAAAGTATATATTATATGCCACAAATATTGGATATTCGGTAGTTGAATTATGAGAACGTTTGGGCCAAGGTCTTGGCGGATACTGCAATAGGAGGCCAGAGTAACATTTCACATCAAACACAGTACAATCCGTGCGGTCATTAACCTGGTGTGAGGACGATGACAGACATGGTGATGAGGGAGCAGACCACCAGGATGACCAGCAGAGCGATAGCAATTCCTTTCCAGTTCCTCTGAGGAGGACTCACCCCGCCAAGGTCCTGCAGGGAGACAGACAGAGAGAAAACAGAGGTCAGAGACGAACAGAGAGTAAACAGTGAAGTGACTGGTGTAGTATTATGATGAATAAAATGGCTTCCACCAATGAAAAAGCCTGACACTGCAGTAGGCCATGTTGCGTTGATTAAATGAGGTTGACCCTCTTGAGTGTTGCTAAACAACAAATGATCTGCCAATGCTTGAACTGGTATTTTGTTCACTTACATTCATGAGAGTTATTTTAGTCCTCATATATATTAAATCAGAACAACCTGAACTACAAATGGTAAATGGACTTGAGCTTGTACATTTATTTTCTAGTCTTCTGACTACTCAGAGCGCTTTTTCACCGCATGTCACACCTACCCACTAGGTAGTGGTTGCTCTGTAGTGAGACCATCGGAATCCCATTTATATGCATTCATATGCCATAAGAAAATGATGCAAACTAAAGAGCTACATAAAAATAAATCAATATTTATATGAAATATAGAACACAACTCCTGATCTGATATGACTAATAACGCTTTAAAAGAAGCAGTTTTCTAGCTCCACCATGTCATGTTGCTACTGTATGTTACACTTATTCTTCTTGTGTTTTGTTGTGTCTACTTCTTCTTCGGTTGTTGTTTAATAGCTGGATTAGAGTGTGAATACAGCTATGTGTGATTGCCTTTTATCTCCACTTAGACGTATTTGTTTTGTGACTGTACCGTACCGTAACACCACAAACACAAAAAAAGTTACAGGCCTAATCTGCAATAAATTGACTTCGCCTCGTGGAGGGTCTCGAAATGGATCATATTTTAAAAGAAATTTGCCAACGTAAAGGCTGTGGAAGATATGCTACAACCATTTGGCGCTGCATTGCTACATTTTTTGTAACCATGGTTTTAATCACCACTAACATCATGTTATGAGCCCGTCCACACATGTAAAATAAGGAGACCCAAAAGTATTCTTAGCTTTTAGGAACAAAAAGGCTAAAGGTATTATAGGTGTATATTTCAGATTTATTTAAAAAATGATCAAGTTAATGTAGCATGGTATGAGGGCAGCATCTGCATCAGGATGATAATGTTGTGCACACTGTTGTGATGCTGCTGCTGCACCTACTGTATCAACACAGGTCACATTGAGGCTGTGTATTTCCATTCAAATCCCCTGCATGCTGAAGGATTTGCTGTGAAGGGCTTTGCATGAGCCACGCTGTAAGCCCGAGAAATGAAACTCTCTGTTTTCTCGTGTGTGTTTCACTGCTGAAAAATGGAAAAGTATTTGCATGGTTCAATCCCTGCTTGGCCAACCTTTCCTTTCAATCACGACACCTGACCTTTGAAAACACATTCTGTCTGCTGCAGCCGGACTCTCAATTTCTGCAGCTGCGATGGATGTTGTGTGTCATGACCCTCAAGCAGAGCTGTAGCTACATCTTTCAGCAGATAAGCAATACAGTGGGCATTTGCTTTCAAGGGCTCCGTCAGTCAAACTAGCTGCAGAAAGTCTTCGTTTGAGCCTTCTTAGTGGCCACAGAGCGCAGAGTGTGATATTATCTGCAGTGAAATAGCTATCCAGGAGAGTTGGTGAAGCTTTGGCCTCGACTCCATCCCTGAGTCCTGGTATTAGAGTGTCTTAAACTGACTCTTCCAACACGTCTGCTGCCTCTGATAAGGTGAATTAAACCTCCAACCCTATGAATTTCTTCTCAACGCAGCTCTTCCTGGCCTCAATTACCCACAACACCCTGCAAGTGAAATGCAGTGTTTTCCTGGCCAACCTACAACTACACACGAGGGAAAGGGTAAAGACAATGATTGACAATTAGAGCCAGGTTTTGTTTGCACAAAGAAGCTTTCTCTCATACTTCATCTCTCTCAGTACTTGACAAGACAGTTTAAAAGCAGTAAGGTTCACATTTTCATCTGATTGTAAAAAGACATTATCACTTCAAACTATACTCGAAAAGGCAGCTTTGTGTTTGGTGCTTCCAAAAATGTGGTTATTGTGCAAGTGCCAAGATAGTCCAAGGATAAATCTCTTTCTCAAATAACATGACTAGGAAGAATAAATGAAACATCCTCTTTATTCTTGCCTCAACATTAATTTTTCTAGAAGTTGGATTTTTCTAAATTGGCCTGAAAAAAATATGTAAAGTATGATGTATAGGATATACTGAAGACAAGGCAGCCGAAAAAAAAAAAAAAATTGTTTATAGTTGCCGATAAGAAAATGTAACAACGCCCCTCCCTTCCCTTTCTTAAAATGGTTAACCTTTTTGTTTGTGTTGTTAACGTCATGGGCAGGGTCCATTAGACTTAAAGGTTAGACCAGTAATGTCAGACATTCAATACCCATACAAGGACCTGTACAAATTAAGGGTAGCAGAACATAACAGAGGCTAGGGGATTTGACCACAAGGCAACAATAACTTGTTAAGAAACATTTTCAGTCTGTTTTAGTAGCTGATTGGATCCCGGCAGAGGATTTCAATGTTAGCCTGCAGGTTAGCGCTATTGCTACTGATTGAATACGCATGCGTTGATATGATTGAATGGCATCTGCAGAGGGTTCATTCACTCTGCCTTCTAAGGGCCCAGCCATTTCTTTGAGCAGGCATGACTGTAGAGAGAGAGTGGGAAATTCATGCACCAGTTGGAGTATAGGGCTAATGCAGCGAGTGACCAACCTCTGTACATGATGAGACAATCCTGACAGATCTTCCTCCAGTGAACTTTCATGGTCAACACTACAGAGAAGTTAACAGAAACACACCGAATCGACCTAATCTCCTTTACTGAGTAACAACTGGACTTGTTCATTGTAAATGGTAAATGGACTTGATCTGGCATAGCGCTTTTCTAGTCTTCTGACTTCTCAAAGCTCTTTTACACTGCAGGTCACACCTCCACATTCACACACTGATGGCTGTCTCAATAATCATGAATACGATACAGAAATCAAATCAGGAACAAAACAGAACAAGAACAAAACAAAAACATATAGTGAGACCATCAGAAGTAACTAATCCCATTCCCATTCATACACCACCAATGAAGCAGCGGGAGCAATTCAGGGTTAAGTGTCTTGCCCAAGGACACATCGGACATGTTGCTGTAGGAGCTGGGGACCAAACTCTCGACCTTCCGATTGAGAGACAACCGACTCTACCAACTGAGCCGCAGCCGCCCCTGTACCTCAGAGTCCATCGAGCTCTACTGCAGCCATAACCACGGTTACATTATCCCCAGCCCCCCTGGGAATGACTCACGAGACTCATCTATTATCAGGACTGGCTTGCTGCAAGTATCATTAATACAACAAAACGCTGACGTGTCCTTGAAAAGTGACAGCTCCCCTAAATTGTCCTTGTGCCTCCATGCATGAGACTAACTTCTCCTTCTCGTTTCCCCTTCCTCTCCTTCTCATTTTCTTCCCCAGTTCCCTACTTAACCACCTTTAATCATCATCCCCAATTTATTAACCCAATCATGAGGAATGATTGGACCAATAAGACATGACCTGCTGGGTCTCTCCATTACCATTACCAGGACTGAGGAAGTGTAGAAAGGGTCATGGTGAACGGTTAGCCTACCAGGTTACCAGGAAGAGGTGGACGGCAACTGAGCTCTAACACGACCATTAGATCCTCATGTCAGGGAATACACTTCTCAAGGAATCCATGTAGACGAAAGGATAGGCTTCAGCTTTAATGGACTTCTTTGCCAAATCAAAGAAGTTAGCATCAGAGGTATTGTTTCAGTGAAAAATGTTTTAATTGTGATGAGAAACTATAACAAAAAGACTAGCTTAAAGATAGAAACAGTAGCATTTTCCTAAACAAATACAAAATAGACTTTTACGAAAGTAATACTGCTCAATCATCACTCATGTAAGGCCCTCCATACATGAGTGGTGGCAACTGTGTCTGCAGAGACCCAGTCCTCTGCCTGGATTTAGATGTTTTGATTGACTGGTTGGGAGTAGATTTGTTTCCCTCAGCCAAAGACGACGCCATTGGCTGAGGCGAGTTTGGGAGTGGATTAACTCAACCACTGGATGGCCATTCAAACTGGTGGAAGTGGACGTAGCGGCAAAAGGGAGAAAATATAATCATAGTGAGGTGGTTTCAAAACGAGGTTGAACCCTGGGTCTGCTTTCACACGCTTTCGGGCCGTTAAGTTGGCTTGCTTTCTGTTGGACAAGCAGTTGCCAAACACCTGGGGGTAGCTTGTGATAGCTTGCTAAATTATTGGCTTTACCATTGCAACAAATGCTATATTTCAGGTAGCTTGCAGAAACAATAAACACACACGTCAAGTCTTGCAGTGGGCGTGTGCTTCTTGTGCTGATGAGCCCAGGAGGAGGGGGCAAATTTACAAACAAGCTGAAAGAAATTAGTATTACCTTTTGTCTCAATGCAGTTATATAATAGACCTAAAACTTGTTTCCTTTGGACCATTTAGTATCTATTTTTTTCCTGTCATCGTGCCATTTATTTTCAAAATGTGTTGTTTGCTTCTCATAATGGTTCAAGTAAGTGCTACGCAGGGACACACAGGGTTATAAATAACCTCCAGAACAGGCTGCACAGCAAAAACAAGAAAGGCTGCACCTTCATTTTTCACTGCCTCAAAGTAAAATCACGAGGACAAAGGCCTGTTTCTGTGAAAGTATCTCTTCATCTACTTATCCCCCTCCACCCATCTTCATTGTATTTAATGCACCTCAAGGGAAACCTGTAGGAGTCTGGACGCTATTATTCTGCTTTCATATTATGCTGTTGCTTTTCTAAATGCATATCTTTGGTGTGTGGGAGTGATCAGAAGTCAACTTCTCTCAGTATTTATAATTTACCTGAGTCTTTGCTTGTTGCTCAGGGTGTTAGGGTGTGATGCACATGTCTAAATGTCAGAGAAAAATGCCAGTTAAGCAGCAAACTGAAACTAATCCTCGTGCTTACAGTACACCCACCTGAATAGGGGGTTCATTTGATTGACAGAGT